TCATGAAGGGGCCATAGTTCTCCCATGCTGGATCAGGAATTATGGGAGATGAAGTCCACAATTCATGAAGGTGCCATAGTTCCCCCATGCTGGCTCAGGAATTCTGGGAGTTGAAGTCCACGAGTCATAAAAGCCAAGGTTGCCTACCCCTGGCCTAGCCGTAGATAAAATTGGTACGGGCTCTACTTAAATCAGTGCCATGGGATTTTATTCAGGCTAGTAACTCATCCTTTTCTACATGGAAATACAGACTTGATCCAAGCACTACCAAACCGTAGGGCAAATCTGGACCCAGTCTGGTGTTGTGGTATACAATCCTAGGCTGCATGGACAGAGGGATAGTATCAAGATCACGTGAAGTGTTAATACCACTTTTCAATGCTTTGGTAAGGCCACACTTGGAATACGGCATCCAGTTTTGGTCCCCACGATGTAAAAAAGATGTTGAGACTCTAGAAAGAGTGCAGAGAAGAGCAACAAAGATGATCAGGGGACTGGAGGCTAAAGCATATAAGGAACGGCTGCTGGAATTGGGTATGTCTAGTTTAACGAAGAGAAGGACGAGGGGGGACATGATAGCCGTGTTCCAATATCTCAGGGGTTGTCACAAAGTGTATGCACGGCATAATACAGGATGCATAAATGGGAATACTTCTTCCCCGCAATACATCTGCCATGGAATTTGATACTACAAAGTCTTTGTTGTTGTTTCTTTCAGAGCTGCCCATTAAAATATTGCTGATGCTCCTCTTTTCAGTGTACAGTTTCTCTTCCCTGAAGGCCCTGTTCAGGTAAGAAGGAAATCATTTTATAAATAAAGAGAAGAGCCTTCCCATTGCCGAGCGATCTGGTTTTGCACATTTGTCCCATCTCAGGGATGGTTAAACTGCCAATAAAAGGAGGATATTTGTACCTCAGGGTTGAAATGAGGGGTCCTTGGTCATCTCTGCTTGTTTTCTTATAGACGTTTCATCAACCAGCTAGGTAACATCATCAGTGCTAGAAGGGAGTGGGGTTTATGAAGAAGAGGAGGACTGAGGTTGGTTTTTTTTCTTGCAGACGTTTCATCACCCAACTAGGTAACAATATCAGTGCACTGATGATGTTTATTTATTTATTTATTTACTTATGAGACTTTATATACCGCTTTAAGTGCAAGCACTCTCTAAGCAGTGTGCACCAGTAAGCAATGTGTGTGTGTGTGTGTGTGTGTGTGTGTGTGTGTGTGTGTGTGTGTGTATTGAGCCGGTGAGATTTGAACCGCTGACCTGCTGAACACAGTCAGCTAAAGTGGCCTGCAGTACTACACTCTAACTGCTGCGCCACCTCGGCTCTTTGTTACTTAGTTTGGGTAATGAAATGTCTTCAGGGAAGCAACCGACTGATAGGATTTGGGTGAGTCTGATTATGTTGACAGTTTGATCCTATGCAGTTCAACTTGAAAGTAAAAGCCCGGATTATACATTGGGTAGGTTGTAAGAAGTCAAAACTTAAGTCCACCCGCTTGTTTACTCCGTGGCCAGTCGGAATAGAATACAGGATAACAAGAGTTGGAAGGGACCTTGGAGGTCTTCTAGTCCAGCCCCCTGATAAAGCAGGAAACCCTATACCAGGGGTAGGCAACCTTGGCTCTTTTCTGACTCATGGACTTCAACTCCCAGAATTCCTGAGCCAGCCATGCTGAGGGGAAAGGGAGAGGTTTCCAAGCTGAGCCATGTTGGCTCAGGAATCCTGGGAGTTGAAGTCCACGAGTCGTAAAGGGGCCATAGTTCCCCCATGCTGGCTCAGGAATCCTGGGAGTTGAAGTCCACAAGTCATGAAGGGGCCATAGTTCCCCCATGCTGGCTCTGGAATACTGGCAGTTGAAGTCCACGAGTCATAAAAGAGCCAAGGTTGCCTACCCCTTCCCTATACCATCTCACACAAATGGCTGTCCGGTCTCTTCTTTAAAAGCACCCGCAACTGGGGGCTGCTGGATTCATCTGGCTTCACTCATAGATAAGTTTATAGGTAATGGGTGCAGGTAGTCCTCAAGTTACAACTGTAATGGAGCTTGCCCATTACACTCAGAAGCTGTGGCAGAAGTTGTAATATTACTTTATGACCCCCCACCCTGCTCTCCCCAATGTGGTCTTTAGGCGGAGCCCAGGGTGCCTCAGGGTTAGGAGAGACCCTGGGAGTGCTAGCACAAGCCTAGGTACACCTGTTCCAGGACCCCCAAGGCTTCCCTCACCCCCTAAGGCACCCTAAAGGTGCTTTTTCAAAAGGCAACTGAATTTCCTTGGGGTTTTTTTCCCCTTGAAAACATTTTGCTTCTCACCGAAAAAGCTTCTTCAGTTCTGGCTGAATGGTGGGGAATGGCAGGATTTATCTATTCCTTGCAGTCATCTGGTCGTTCGTACTCCCTCCGAGAGTCCTTGAGGCCTAAGGACTCTGCAGGCTTTGGACCTGCCTGCTTTCACACACACACACACTTACCCCACAAGCCTGTCGGGTGGGGCAGCCGTTGGAACTTCCGAACCGGATCGTTCCCGTTTGGGGGGGGGAGGTCCATGGTAACTTTGAACAGTCGCTAAGCGACCAGTCATAAGTCAAGGACTACCTTTATGGCAAGGCTATGAAGAAGTCTTTTTAAAATCATTTTGTCTTGTCCTGTCTCCATAGGAAAGAGCCTCTGCTGAACTGGTTGGAAGCAGTCTACCTCACTGGGCTGATACCCCTAGGAATCGCCTGTGAAATTGTGTTCCCTTTTACTTCCTGGGCTCAAAAACTGCCATTCCTGCCTTTATTGCTCACCTCCGTATATTGTGCTCTAGGCATCATTTATGCCTGGCTCAAGCTATACATCTCAGCCTTCACAGAAGGCAAAGAAAAAGAAGAATAATGATGGTTTATCATGGATTCCAAGCTGGCAAGGATCATTCCGGCAAGCTCACAACCACACACAACACGGCAACAGGTGCTCACATTGGACCTCCTCTTCAATTGCAGAAACGCTTTAAAGACTTGGGGACCTGAAACTCATAAGGAAATAATCAGCTTTTTAAACCAGCGCGACCTGAATGCAACAGTGTTTATTTCCGTTATTGCTATAGCAGGAGAAATCAAAGTTTTTGCTTTCTTTTTCTTTTAAATAATTCTGTCTCCAAAGGCCATAGGGATGTGCTGATCCATATGTAGAGGGAACAGGAACAATTTCTTTTTCCTGTTTTGAGTCACCAGGGTTCAAGGAGATAATTTCTTAACATTTAAAGAGGCACATTCCATGTATCTTATCTGGAATTAAAAGAAAAAAGAGGTTTGCAAATTGTAGGGGTGAGCTTTGCACATACCAAAAAAAAAAAAAAAAAAGACAGGCTGAGTTCCCAAACTCTGTATTACATGATCATCAATTTCTAGAAAACGTTATTATCATGCTGGGTGAAAATTAAATAAAGAATTCATTTTTTAAAATCTGTTTCCTTGAACTGTATAGAATGCATAATGGTAGATCTACCTTTCAAGCAAATCTGATCTGATCAGACCAATTTATGGATGATTGTTCCAAGCTTTTAGCTAGAAAAACTTACACAAGTAGCCCTCAACGTGGGACCGTAATCGAGACTGGAATTACAGTCATAAATTGTGGCAGTCATTAAGTCACCACTCAACCCAATTTTGCAATCTTTTTTGGGGGGGCAGTCGTTAATCAGTTGCCACTGGTCATTAAATGCATCTGTTTTTTTAGTCAATGGGCATTTCCCCCCCCCCCCAAACCAGACGCAAATGCCAGTTTCCAGCAAAAAATATAAATCACTGCTGCAAATAGTGGTAAATTCCAGTTGTGGTACCCAGTAACTAATTTTGGGGGAGTCCATCATAATTTCAAATGGTTGCTAAGCAGCCAGTCGTAAGTCTACCTGTAAAATACATATTTGGGACTTGCATTAGCATTTGCCAAAAGATTGTTTAAAGTGGTTTCATGTTTGCTTAGAAATAATCCATGGGAGCTACCTATGTCTAAACCGGGCATTAATATGGGCTATATCAAGAGCTGGGACCTGGGTTTTTCAAACGTAGCAATTTGAAGATGCTGACTGGGGAATGCTGGGAGTCGTAGTCCATGCCTCTTAGTTGCCATGATGGAGAAATAATGTTGGGGGAGTATGGTATACGATCAATGTCAGGTGGATGGGCAATTGCAGCAGTGAAACGTGGACCATTGGAAGACCTGTAGGGTCAAGTTGGGGATAGACCCTCCTGGAAAAAAACAACATTTTGATATGGTTGCTAGGCTCAAAAAACCATGATCACAACCTTGTCTGGAGATTCTCAGTCATCCAGGTTGTAGTTAACCCAAAGATGTTTTTTCCATGAGGCAACTGGACTCTCTTTTCCTCTTTGAAGACATTTCACTTCTCATCCAAGAAGCTTCTTCAGGTTCTGATCTGAATGGTGGGGAATGGAAGGATTTATACTCCTTGCAGACAGCTGGTCATTTGCCTTCTAGGGCAAGGGTAGGCAACTGGCTCTTTTATGACTCGTGGACTTCAACTCCCAGAATTCCTGAGCCAGCCAAATTTTGATCACGGGACTGTAGGGAAGCTGCAACGGTCGTTAAGTGTGAAAAATGGTCATCAGTCACTTTTTTTCCAATGCGGTTGTCGCTTTCGAGGGGTCACTAAACAAACCGCTGTAAGTCGAGGACTCCCTGTATTGCCTCTCGACCCAACGCCCCCCTCCCCTCCAAACAGGAGCCCAGGGATCTCTCTTCTTTTGCAAACTCGATCCAAAGCGCCTTCCTGCGATCCCCTGCATCACGTCACCCGGATTCCTGGTATAGGTTCTCCTGCTTGAGCGGAGGGCTGGACTAGAAGACCTCCAAGGTCCCTTCCAGCTCTGTTCTATTCAATGCAAGCTCCGTCCAGCTGTTTCCTCCCTGCCGATTGGCCCCTCTGCTCGAGCCCCCCGGCCAATCCGGGCTCGGAGGCGGCGGGGAGGGGCCGGCGCTGCGGAGCCCCGCCCCCTTGCTCCAGGACGGAGGACGGAACCTTGCTCGGCGGGCCGCGCGGGCTGAGGGGAAGGTGTTGCGGGCCGGAATCTCCGCCGCTCCAGCCGTCGCCATGCAGCTCCGCTTCTTCGTCCCCAACGAGGCGCTCTCGCTGCCACCGCCACCGCTACTCACCTTCCCCTCCATCTGGATGGCGGGCATCTTCTGGATCAGCGCCTTGGTGCACAACGGCGTCAACCGCAGGCCCGCCCTGCGCTCCGGTCAGTCGCCGGGCCCTTCCGCGTGGCCCCCCGTCCCTCCGCTCTTGGGGGGGGGGTCACCGGGTTGCCCATCGAGGTCCCGTCCGGCCCTTCCGCGGACAGGGTCCCCGTCGCTGCTAACCAGCACGCAGAGCTCAAGGAAGCGGAGAGCCGGAAGGGAAGAATCGCATGCCCATCATCCACAGCCGAGGGGGAGCCAAGAGAAGCCCCATCCGGAGTCAGGGTCGGGAGGATCCCGGTCTGACCTCCGGGGGGGGGGACGATGCTCCCGAGGGGTCCCTTCCTGGTGGGCCCAAATGGAGGATTTGATTAATTTATTAGGTGGTCCTCTTGCCTTCCTCTTTGGGGTCAAGGGGCAGTTAATGCCTTACACACACACACACACACACACACACACACACACACACACACACACACACACACACACACACCAGCCCTGCGAAGTAGGACAATCTGAGAGGCGGCTGGCCAAGGTCACACCAAACGACCTCTGTTAGTCTCTTAGCCCAAGCCCGATTTGAGAATAATAAAATAATAATAATAATAAAACATAACACCCCAGACTTAACAATTGTCAATAAGAAAGACAAAAAAATCTGGATAATGGACGTGGCAGTGCCTGGAGACAGCAGAATAGACGAGAAAGAACTGGAGAAGATAACAAAATACAAAGATCTACAAATAGAAATAGAAAGAGTGTGGCAAAAGCAAACAAGGGTAATACCAATAGTAATAGGCGCCTTGGGTGCAATCCCAAAACAACTGGAGCATCACTTGAACACCATTGGCATTGACAAATTTGCTATTAGTCAATTGCAAAAGGCGGCCTTACTAGGAACTGCTTCCATCCTGCGACGATATCTGTAATACCATCAAACATCCACATCTGCCTATCCCAGGTCCTGGGTAAGGACTCGATAGGTAGACAAAATGCCAAATCCAGTCTGAACATCTGGCTGACTGTGCGATGATCCATAATAATAATAATAATAATAATAATAATAATAATAATAAGCAGAGGAACAAAAGATCAACTCCTAATAGACAAAATGATCTTGGAAAACTGCAAGAGAAGGAAGACCAACCTGAATGTGGCATGGATTGACTACAAAAAGGCATTTGACTCTCTGCCACATGATTGGATAATAAAGTGCCTAGAAATAACAGGAGTCAGTAGAAACATCAGAAAATTTGTGCAAAGATCGATGGCACAATGGAAGACACAGTTGCAGATCAATGGTGAGAGGCTGGGAGAGGTTAATATCAAGAGAGGAATATTTCAAGGAGATTCATTATCACCATTACTATTTGTTATTGCACTGTTTCCTCTGTCAACAATACTGAATAACTCAGGACATGGCTATCAAACATCAAAAACATCTGCCAGACTATCCCACCTCCTTTATATGGATGATCTGAAGCTGTATGGAAAAACATCATCTGAAATAGAATCGCTGCTCAACACTGTCCGTATATATAGCCAAGATATTGTAATGGAGTTTGGCTTGGACAAATGTGCCACACTTACTATCAAACAAGGAAAAATAATGAAAACTGAAGGAATCAAGATGCCCCACGAAAATAACATTAAGAGTCTGGATGAGGAAGAGTACTACAAATACTTGGGTATCCTTCAAGCTGACAACATCAAGCACACTGAAGTCAAGAAAAAGATTAGAGGTGAATACATCAAGAGAGTGAAGAAGATCTTAAAATCCAAACTCAATGGAGGAAATACCATAAAGGCAATCAACACCTGGGCAATCCCAGTCATTAGGTACACAGCTGGAATAGTGGACTGGACTCAAGCAGAACTAAAAGCAATGGATAGGCAGACCAGAAAAATAATGACAATGAATCATGCCCTTCATCCACGCAGTGACATTGATAGACTTTATCTACCAAGGCAAATAGGTGGGCGTGGAATGCTACAAGTACATCAGATGGTTGAAGAAGAAAAAATGGCTTTGGAAGAATATCTGAAGAACAATGATGAAGATGCACTGAAATTAGTATATCAGGAAGGCTTACTAACTACTGGAGAGACCAAACTGGCCTACAAGAAAGACCAAATGAAGAACAGAATAGAGGCATGGGAAGACAAAGCACTACATGGCCAATACATTAAAAAAATAGCTGGGAAAGCAGATAATAACAAACCTGGCAATGGCTAAGAGCAGGAAAATTGAAGAAAGAGACCGAGGGACTAATTCTGGCTGCACAAGACCAAGCCTTAAGGACAAATGCATACAAAGTCAAAATTGAGAAGACAGCAACAGACAGTAAGTGCCGCCTATGCAAAGAAGCTGAAGAAACAGTGGACCACTTGGTAAGCTGTTGCAAGAAGATTGCACAGACTGATTACAAGCAGCGGCATGACAAAGTAGCAACAATGGTGCATTGGAAGATCTGCAAAAAATATCATTTGCCTGTAAGCAAAAACTGGTGGGATCATAAAATAGAGAAAGTCATAGAAAATGATAAAATTAAACTGCTCTGGGACTTCAGAATTCAAACAGACAAGCACCTGCAACATAACACCCCAGACTTAACAATTGTCGATAAGAAAGACAAAAAAGTCTGGATAGTGGACGTGGCAGTGCCTGGAGATAGCAGAATAGAAGAGAAAGAACTGGAGAAGATAACAAAATACAAAGACCTACAAATAGAAATAGAAAGACTGTGGCAAAAGCAAGCAAGGGTAGTACCAATAGTCATAGGCTCCTTGGGTGCAATCCCAAAACAACTGGAGCACCACTTGAACACCATTGGCATTGACAAATTCGCTATTAGTCAATTGCAAAAGGCAGCCTTATTAGGAACTGCTTCCATCCTGCGCCGATATCTGTAATACCATCAAACATCCACATCTGCCTATCCCAGGTCCTGGGTAAGGACTCGATAGGTAGACAAAATGCCAAATCCAGTCTGAACATCTGGCTGACTGTGCGATGATCGATAATAATAATAATAATAATAGGTAACTCGTGGAAGTCTGGCCTTCAGCCATCAATAGACACAGTGAGACAAACCACATTTACCCACCACTCAAAAGAGACAATTATAAAACATTAGAACAAAGAAGACGAGAAGACATCCTCTCCAGCATCCCCCAGTCAAATAAATGGGGATTATCATCAGAAAAAAAAAAATACCAAATGCAATTAAGGAATCACCAAGGAATAAATTGCACCTCCCCCCCTCAACACCAGCAGGGCAAAATACTATATATAAGGCAGCCACTCATAGTCATTACAACTGATAATATCAGTTGGGTAATGCATGTCTGCAAGCAAACATCCAAGCTCAGGGAGAACCAAGGACTTTGCTGCTGTTCTCTTTTTAAAATGACGATTGCTTGCAAAGAGTGTCTGGCATGGGAACTGAATAGCAGACAAGCCACAGCAGCCTTAACGTGGGAAGGTGGATTTGGGGTGGGGAATGACGGTCTGCCAGTATCCAGGGATGATCTGCCAGGACAGAGCTGAGGAAGGGACCGATCCGATGTGGAATGAGGAGAAGAGGAAAGAAAGGAAGGAGAAAAATGATTGGGGAAGAAACACGGCAGATTTAGGTACTTAAGTCCAGACCGAGTTCAGCTTGTCTTCTTCACACCTTTGTAGGCATCACCCTAGTGACAGCCACCTGCTCTATAAATGCCAGTTGGGAATTTCGGGACAGCTTGTTGAACTTGTCCCTTTGCTCTCTTGATCTTTTCCAGGCGTCCACCGTCAACTCCTGATGGCCACTCTGGGGTTTTGTTTGGGCTACTACATCAAGAGATACTCCAATTACTACCACGCTGAGAGGGACAGGCAGCTTTTCAGTTACATCAAGCACCATCCTGAGGACTTTGTGGAAAAAGGTACTTTGGCGTGAAACGCTTTCCAGAAGAGCTGCTTAAAGGCTTAAAGCAGTGGTTCTCAACCTTTCTAATGCCACGACCCCATAATACAGTTCCCCATGTTGTGGTGACCCCCAACCACTTATACATCACCGGGTGCCAGGGCGTGGCCAAAGAAAAGGGGGAAAAAATGGCGGACAGCCTTGTTTGGCGACCCCCGTGAAATGGTCGTTCGACCCCAAATGGGGTCCCGACCCACAGGTTGAGAAACACTGGCTTAAAGGGAAATTAGAGGGGGGGGGAAGCAGCTGTTTTCTAGGGCAGATGGTGGGGCCCCCAGCTGTTTCTCCCGAGTTGCCCACAGTATGGATGAGATAGAGACCCCCAAATAATTCCTCCAGCGAGTTGTCACAAAGCCTTTACAAATCTACACCAATGCCCTGGGTGCCAGCTGCAGCCAGGTAGCCATTGATGAGGCCACTGGAAATTATAGTTCAGCAGCAGATGGATTGCTTTGAATTGTCAAGTATGGAGTTAGACCAGTGATGGCGAACTTTTAGAGACTGAATGCCCAAACTGCAACCCAAAACCCACTTATTTATCGCTGGGTGCCAGGTGGGCATGGCTGTGGTCATGGCAGACTTGGTGGGTGTGGCCAAGCTGGGCGTGGTCACCTCGATGTTGCTCATGGGGGCTTGGCAGGGTTGGGGGAGTAGGTGGGGCGGTGGGCAAGAGGCTCGTCCTGCGGGGTGAGGCGCGGCAAGGCAAGGCAGGACGGGGGTGCCATTGTCACAGGACAAGATGAGGCAGGGGCTGGGGTGGCTGCTGCCTGTCACCATCGGCCCCCACACACAGAGGCCAGCGAGTGCATGGGTGCTGGGATGCATCCAGCAACGTGGACCTCGGCGAGTTAGTGGGCTGAAGAGGGACAGTTACTATCTCTGAGGCATGCCGAGCGTGCCCACAGAGAAGGCTCTGAGTGCCGCCTCTGGCACGCGTGCCATAGGGTCGCCAGCACTGAGTTAGATTTGTATCTCAGGTAACAAAATCTGGGAATTTAGAGGGAATGGGCAAGTTTACATTGTTGATTCATTCTGGACTCTTGGCAGTCCAGTCTACATGGACACGTTCATGCATATTCGCTTAGCAATGTTTTTGGAAGTGGTTTGCCCTTCTTCCGAGGACTAAGAGAGAGAGGGATTGGCCCAGTTGGCTTTCATTCCTCAGGCTGGATTGGAATTCACCGTTTCCTGGCTTCTAGTCCAGAGTCTGAACTGCTGGTTCCAACTGGCTCTCAACAGACCAGTCCCTTTGGTGGGCATGCTTGTGTACACCTTTGAACAAGGCTACATCCTGCAAGAGTAAAGAATTGCGCTTTTCCACAGTAAAGTAAAATTTTACTTAGCGGTGACGTTAGACCCCCCCCTTAAGAGAAGCTCTTTGTGCCTCTGCTTGCTTCGATTCTCTTTAAGGAACTATAAACAAGAGAGCCATCCTTGGCAAAGTAGACAGGAAGTCGTCTCAAAGGTGCTTTTTCACGAGGCAACTGGACTTTCTTGAAAACGAGAAAAAAGAATCCAGTTCTCATGTGAAAAAGCACCTTTGGGATAACCATGACTTGGATGACTGAGAATCTCCGTAGATATAAAAGGAAATTGGTTCTTTTTCTGTATCCCTGGTTTATGAATAAGCCTTTTTCAGCAGAGCTCATTTCCTGTTTTCCTAGAGCCTAGAAAAATGAGAGACGTTCTGGAAGACTTCGTCCCAACTCAATGAAGGCTGCCTGCAGATCCCGTCTTCTCCAGCCTGTTTTCTCTCGGCGTGTGGAAGCCCTCAAGGCCCAATCGCTTGCTGATAAACGTGTATTATATCATTTCTAATTAAAGCTCTATGAAGATCCAGTCTGCTTTTTTCGCTCTTGGTGTACGGGGGGGAATAGACCCCCAGGAGATCTGGCATAAATAATATTCAGAATGTTCAGAATCTCTAGGGAAGAGAAGGACCAGGGGAGAGATGATAGCAATGTTCCAGTATTTGAGGGGGTCTCACAGAGAGGAGGGGGTCAATCTCTTTTCCAAAGCACCTGAAGGCCAGACAGGAAGTAACAACGGATGGAAACTGATCAAGGAGAGAGTCAACCCAGAAATAAGGAGAAATTTTCTGACAGTGAGAACAATCAATGGAATAGCTTGCCCTCAGAAGTTGTGGGAGCTTCATCATTGGAAGCTTTCAAAAAGAGACTGGACTGCCATCCGTCAGAAATGGTGTAGGGGGTTGGACTAGATCAGTGGTTCTCAACCTGTGGGTCGGGACCCCATTTGAGGTCGAACGACTATTTCACGGGGGTCGCCAAACAACGCAGTCTGCCATTTTTCCCCCCTTTTCCTTAGCTGTGCTACTCCCTTTTATTCTATTGGCTTTTGAAAGCCAATAGAATAGACTCTCTTGAATAGAGTCTAATTCTATTGGCTTTCAAAAGCCAATAGGAATTGTCCAGGCTGTCTCTGCCCTGCTGAGCCCGCCAAAAGTCCCCTTCTGCAAATGGTGCTGCACCAGTTAAGTAGTCCTCGACTTACGACCGTTTGAGTAGTCCTTGACTTACGACCGGTTGGGGGTCGCGGCATTAAAAAGGTTGAGAACCACTGGACTAGATGATCTAAAAGGTCCCTTCTAACTCTATTATTCTATTCTATTCTGTTCTGTATTTCCTATTCTATTTTATTCTATTTTATTCTATATTTCTATTCTATTCTATTCTGTATTTCCTATTCTATTCTGTATTTCTATTCTAATCTAGTCTGTAATTCTATTCTGTTCTATCTTATCCTATTCTATTCTATTCTATTCTATTCTATTCTATTCTATTCTATTCTATTCTATTCTATTCTATTCTTTACCAGCGCTAAAGTGTGAATTCTCTCAGCCCCAAATTTAGCTAAATGGTTCCCATCCATGGTTACTGATCACGATGAGACTCTAATCACAATAACAGCTCCTGAGCCACAAAGGTTGGGAGGAGGATGTATAGCTAGGAAGAAAGTGGGGTACCCTGCCCCCCCCCTCTATTGGAGGTACGATCCTGCCCTCATTTCACACTAGACCCACTTCCTTTCTTCTTTCCTTCCCTTCCAACTCTGTTATTCTGTTTCAAACCGGTTTCTCCCTCTCCTCCTCACGCCATTCTCCCTTTCCAGGAAGGTGTTCCAGTCAAGGGATTGGAGTAGGAGAAGGGAGACCTGGGTTCAAGTCCTCCCTCATTGAGTAACTTAGGCCTCCCTCAGCCTAGTTTAGCTCACAAGGTTGTTGTGTGGGAAATTCCTGAGTAGCTGAGCTCCTGAAAAAGTTCTGGTCTTCCGGTTGTTCTCATCCGCTGATGAAGCTTCTTGCATCTTCCTCCAAGCCTTTCCTTCTTCCCCTATCCTTCGACATACCTACACAGTTTGTCTCCTAACAGGGCCATAAAACACAGTGTTTTCTCCGTTTCTCCCTAAATGGTTTCACCCAACAGCGTGGACACGTGAACCTCCCTTTCGTCTGTGACTTTCAGAGGCCTCATGTGGTGAAGCCGTCCCATCTTGGCTGCCTATATTACAAGTCTCCCTGTCTACCCTTAAGGCAGGGATAGGCAAACTTGGCCCCTTCATGACTCGTGGACTTCAACTCCCAGAATTCCTCAGCCAGCATGGGGGAAACTTTGGCCCCTTCATGACTCCCGGACTTCAACTCCCAGAATTCCTCAGCCAGCATGGGGGAACTATGGCCCCCTCATGACTTGTGACAACTCCCAGAATTCCTTAGCCAGCATGGGGGAACTATGGCCCCTTCATGTCTCCCGGACTTCAACTCCCAGAATTCCTGAGCCAGCATGGGGGAAACTTTGGCCCCTTCATGACTCCCAGACTTCAACTCCCAGAATTCCTCAGCCAGCATGGGGGAACTATGGCCCCTTCATGACTCCCGGACTTCAACTCCCAGAATTCCTGAGCCAGCATGGCTCAGCTTGGAAACCTCTCCCTTTCCCCTCAGCATGGCTAGCTCACGAATTCTGGGAGTTGAAGTCCACGAGTCATAAAAGAGCCAAGGTTGCTTACCCTTGCCTTAAGCGGTTAGAGGCAGTTACAGTGGTCCAAGGTTACTGGGGAGGGAGGTGGGGTACGCATAAGCACTGCCCTCTTTCTACGTGCATCCGTGAGGCTCCCAGCCCCGCAGATCTGGAGGCGAGGTCAGGGTTAGGAAATGGGGATGCTGGAAGCGACGGGCCGGTGACTTCTGACCGGTTTCCGTTTTACGGTCGAGGGTGGGACTGTCTTAAAAATGGAGCATAGATTGGAACAGCTCCAGGACGGAGTGAGATCCTCTATTTTTAGTAACCGGGCTATAAGTGAGGACTTTGGGGCCTGGAAGCCTCCTCCCAGTTGGGCCTGCCTTTGTCTGGAGAGAGATGCCAGGGGATCCTTCGGCTGTACGAAGCCCTTGAGACACAACAGGGCAAAGTGCCCAGTCTAAAGCAGAACAGTCTTTTTTTCTTTTTTTTTTTCAATCCTGGGAATTAATTACAGTTCGGTTCTGGCAACTTTAAGGCTTGTGGACTTCAACTCCCAGAATTCCTCAACCAGCGAAGTTGAAGTCCACAAGTCTTAAAGGTTTGTCACGTTTAGACTCCTGATCTAAAGCATAATAAGGAGCCCTGAAGTTCAGATCTCATCATAAATCATCATGCACCAAAACTCCCAATTCAGGGCCTGAAGAATTCAGGAATTGCGGCTGTGGTCCCTCTGCGGTCCAGCTGGGAAAATGTCTCCGGCAGAGGCAATAGTTTCTTTCCAGGGAAAGAAGAAAGAAAGGTCAGATTTGTTCTGGGAAGGAAAGATAATTGGGAAAGTTTGAAAGCTAAAGAGAATGATGCAGACAGATGTGTTCAATCACGGTGTTCATCCACACTCAAGGATGTAATATCCCAGGAGTCTTCAAACTTGGCCCTTTTACGACTTGTGGACTTCAACCCCCAGAATTCCTCAGCCAGGATGGGGGAACTATGGCCCCTTTACGACTTGGGGACTTCAACTCCCAGAATTCCTGAGGCAGCATGGGGGAACCATGACCCCTTCATGACTTGGGGACTTCAACTCCCAGAATTCCTGAGGCAGCATGGGGGAACCATGACCCCTTCATGACTCGTGGACGTCAACCCCCAGAATTTCTGAACCAGCATGGGCGAACTATGGCCCCTTCATGACTTGGGGACTCCAACTCCCAGAATGCCTCAGCCAGCATCCCTGGTTGAGGAGTTCTGGGAGTTGAAGTCCACAAGTCGTAAAAGGGCCAAGTTTAAAGACCCCTGTAATATCCTATGAAGAGCAGGACTGCACAACTCCTCATGACTCCTAGGTGGCAGTAACAGGTGAGAATTGTCTCTTGTCTCCTTGGTGCCATCTAGTGGTAACTGAGGGTGCTGCAGGCAGATGTGGTAATATTAAAATGAGGGAAAGAAATTGTTCTTTTTTCCTCTTCTCCCTCCCCTCAGTGCATTCCTACCTTGGTCCTACAAAGCTATTTTAGACTCTGGACTGAATCCCCTGATGCAATTCCATTACTTCACTTCGGTTCCAGTTTTGCTGTATCATCCAGGTTCTCGTCATCGGGCTAAATCAGGTCCTGGATTTCTGCCCTCTGACCTTGCCCAGATGGGACGGTCCCGGCTTGGCAGGAGCAGGAACGCCGCAAGAAGATAAACTTGCTGTGAACGAGCCACATTTCAGTGGCGTGGCTGTTGCAACACAGATTGATGCCCTTTTCAGAAAGGGACTGCATTGCAAAATCCTAGCTTGAGAGACTTTGATTCCTAGTTACAGCAGGGTCTATGGAAAAGGATTGGGTTTTCACAGGCTTTACCGCTGTGAAACACTGCAATTTAAGCCTTCTCCCCCCCCCCTTTATCTTTGAGAGCAAGCAACAAAATTTCATTTTTAATGTGTGCCAATATGCCTACAGTAAAAAATGACAATAAAGCTTATCTATCTATCTATCTATCTATCTATCTATCTATCTATCTATCCATCCATCCATCCATCTATCTTATCTATCTATCAGCTATCTATCTATCAGCTATCAGCTATCCATCAGCTATATCTATATTATCTATATCATCTATCATCTCTATCATCTATCAGTTATCTATATATCATCTATCATCCATCTGTCATCTATCAATCTATCATCTATCATCCATCCATCCACTCATCCACCCACCCACCTATCTATCTATCTATCTATCTATCTATCTATCTATCTATAGAGACTAGCAGAACTTTCAGCTAGGTTTTTTTTAAAAAAAAACTGGTTCATTTTAAAGTGAATCATTGATGAATGAGAGAGAGAGAGAGAAAGAGAGACAGACAGACAGACAGATGACAGGTAGGATATAGATAGATAGATAGATAGATAGATAGATAGATAGATAGATAGATAGACGAGAGAGAGAGAGAGAGAGAATGTCTTTGTGTGCATGTGTGTGCATGTATCAAAAATATCTAATGAAAAGAAGGACCGGGGGGGGGGACACGATAGCAATGCTCCAGTATTTGAGAGATTGCCACAAAGAAGGGGGGAGGGTGTCAACTTATTTTCCAAAACACCAGAAGGCAGGACAAGAAACAACAGATGGAAACTAATCAAGGACAGAAGCTACCTGGAATTAAGGAAATTAAACTTCCTAACAGGACAATTAACCAGTGGAACAGCTTGCCACCAGAAGTTGGGGTGCTCCAACACTGGAAGTTTTTAAAGAAGAGACTGGACAAACATTTGTCTGAAATGGCATAGGGCAGTGAGGGCGAACCTATGGCATGTGTGCCAGAGGCGGCACTCGGAGCCCTCTCTGTGGGCACGTCCGCTGCTGCCA